GTACAAGTCAGTGTTTTTTTATCCTCCCAGACAAGTCTGGTACCAATTAACCGACCCCGGAGGGATGGAAGGCTTGGTTGGCCCGGGCGACTCACGACCCAGGATTTGATCCCCGGACCGCTCGCGTGGTAAGCGTGCCACTTGCCACTACACCACTTCCGCCCTGTATCAAATCCATAGTAGAAATATTCGTTATAATGCTAACAGTAAGAGCAGGACGACTGGGGAAACCTTTGACCTAGGAAGTTGGAGCCCTTGAAGTGTAACTGATAGTGTTTTAGGGGTATGGGTCGCTAGGAAGGAACGCGAAGTTTCGCGATGCAAGAGCGGAAAGCCCTTTCTGTCTCAGTGAACCATACCATACCCATGTTTCAGCATGAGCCTCGAAAAGCTCTTGGCCGCGCTTTCGTGCTCGAATGCCAATTCATGCACTTTTGCGACGCTCAATTCGATGATGACAGTCGCTGATAACAAGAACCTACAGCTGTTTCCGGAACATTCATGCCTCTGAGTACTCGTGCTGAATCACACTTGTCTCTTTGAATTTGCCAGATCCAATCTGAAACCTTCACTTGTCCTCTCGGCCACGAAACGGCTGTCCAAATACCTCGGGAACATACATGTGTGAAATGTTCTCGTTTTTTCATGTCCTTTAATGCAAATATTAGCCCTGTAAAGCTGATAGATGCTGTTTTGTTTTGTAATTGATAAACATCATCAGTAAATGACGTTTCTTTAGAATCGCGGTGATATGTCCGATTCTTCTACTAACAACAGTACTAATGATCATCAAATAGACGCAATTGATGAGGCCGTGATCGAAACAGTGGAATATCTACTCGAGAACATCGAGCTAGACCCTGCTTTAGTTCAAAGCAGTTCAAAGGGTAACGCTGACCCAGACTTCATCCACTGTTCTCCAGTCGGCATGCGTTCCTCCACAACCGGACGAAATCGCCAAGGAAGCTGTAGGTTGCTCAGAACGTTTTTTGAAGTTCTTGTAAAATTTTCCGACCAGTGACAAAATTCTGTTTCATTTCAGAAACCAGAAGCCAAGACCGTGTCTAGTCAGTATCAGCATGATGACGATCGCGACATATTCAAGGTTTTATTTTGTTTTTGAGGCTGAATTTCTGTGAAGGCGTTTTTCAGTTCTCCATCAAGTAGGAGGGCTAATGGTGTGGATTAGCGTTCTCTCTCTGCACCATGGTCACCCATGTGCATAGTTTTTATCCTTCCTTTTTGAGGAGTTCTTTTGCCCTTGTCGAGCGTTTTGGAACATTCCTGTAAGCCACTGGCTGAGAAGTGGAATTCCTTTGAAATTGTTTCAGACCGTAGCAAAGATTTTTTGTTTGATAGAGCCTACAAGGGGGCGGAAGGGCGGGTGGAAGGGAGGGGCATAGGACACTTTATATTTCTGATTTGAATGCCCCACTGTTTTTCTTCACTTCACAAAAGGCGTAAACCTGCTGCTTTTGTTTTAATTTTCATATGAAATGGAGTATTACCATCTCTTTTGAAAAAGTGCGCCCTTATCGCTACTGCTTAGGTTCCTAATGTTCTTCCCTAATCTCAACTTTCCAAAAGTTTATAATTTTCTGTCAGTATTTGTTGCTCCATCCTTTCGTAATGCAGTAATATCATTTCAGTTGAAAACTGTCCAATTCAACTCAATTAAAACGTCCATCGTTACTCAAAATCTTAACGGTCCATGTCCATTAATAGCACTCGTAAATGTGCTTGCTTTGAAAGGTATAGTCTTACGATGTTCGTAATTCTTATTGTTTGGTGATTTGTTGCTGACTACTGTTTACGCATTTCTTTGAAGGACTAACGAAACTTCCAGCAAATGGACACGTAACGAGGGACGCACTTACCCACTTGGTACTTTTTCTGCGCCTTCTCAAACGTAATAGTTTAGAGCCGAGAGAACATGCTTCAGGTTGCAGATGCTCTTCTCCAGATGCGGCCTGAAAACATGACCACTCACGTAGAGAGTAACTATGATAGAAACTTGGATGATGTAATAACACAACTCCTCGATGCTAGAGCGAGTAGATGTGAATGTCAGGTATTATGTGCTCAGCTCTTCAGATTAGCAGATCCTGTGCATGTTTTCAGTATACTCTATTTCGAGGCTCTTTTAAAATCACTTCGACGTTTAGATTTCGTCACGTCACTGACTTTGAGTTTACTCCCGCACTATCTTTATTTGATCTACTGCGTGTCAATTTATATCATGGATGGCTCCCTGATCCCCAGTTTGTAGAAATAAGTACGTTTATATTATTTACTTGAATTACTTCATATTACTTTTTCTTTTTGTTCCATAACTTCTTATGTTATTAGGAAAGGCTGTTGGAGATTTAACCTACAATCAGCTTGTGGAACAAATTTGTGACGAATCAAACTACAATCGATTGTTACTGCAAGAGTTTTTGGAAGAAAATGTCACGCAACTGACTTATCATGGATTAATTGGTCTCATGGAGGCAATGCAAGATGGCGAACTAGCCGTGTTATTTCGAAATAACCACTTCCATACGATACATAAAAGAAAGGTGAGATATCGGCTTCATATCACACCATTTGTTCGAATTTTACTTGATTTTTGCCTTTCAAATTTTTTTTCTGTCCCTTAGGTACCACTTAGCTAGCTCATGATTTACGGAGTGTGATTCATTAGTGACAGAGACGCGACTTTTGTATGCGCTTTCGCAAGCGCGAAGAATCGTTCGTTGCGGCAACGCAGATCCGTCGCGGTTCGCGGTGAAAACCACGGTTCCACTGATAGATTCAGGCAGTGTCGTATCTTGTTGCCCTCAGCGAGATGTTTCGGTTCGCGAAATCGCGAAAACGTCGCTTTCTGTCCTAATGAACCACACTCTGGTTTACGGACTACTTGATTTTTTCTACATGGTCCTGCCGCGATGGTTAGAGTGCATACGATTACAGAACGGGTGAATGCCCTAGGATCAAGTCTTGGAGAGGAGAGGTTGACACACCGTTGGATAAGCCGCAAGTGCCTTTAACACGTTGACGACAACGCGCGTTTTGGGTTTTTGCACCGCGTGGGACCACGGCGATTTTGCAGGCGCCGCCGCCTTCACATCAAATCCGTGAATTCTGAGCTTTAACTATGCAAAACCCGGATGCAACAAAATGTTTCGAATGATATTCGATGTATCAAACTTCTCAGAAGGAACAACTGTAAAAGTTCAATCGAATGGACGTTTTCTGGCAATGAAAAGGCAATTTTCGGTAGCTCTTGCTGTAATGGACCTCAAAATTATTTTTGACTCGGTTGCTTCACTAAAAACTTGTATCTTGCTATATGTGTAGGTCTATACTTGCTTTTACTACTCTTTTTTATGACCGAGGTTGTCAGAATTTAAAGAAAACTAGGAATGAACACAATTGGGAATTCGTAGCACTTGGAAAACCTTTGCTAAAAAGGAGCATATTCAACCATTCGATGAACCTTGCCGTGTCTAGTCATGTTATGGTGTGGTCTATAGAATAGATGCAAGAAGTTAGAAAAGAAGAAGCGCATGCGCGAAAAAATTTAATAATTTGTGTGTGCAGCGCATGCGCTGCACACGGTCCCACACGGTGCTCAAGCTGTGATGCGCATGCGCTGCGCACAATGTCGTCAACGTGTTAAATCGTGAAGCGTTCATTCAATTCGGTTGGTGGTGTGTCCGTTCCTCCAAGTGGTGCCACTGGGAACTGCTCACTTTTGTGGGCTGAGCTGAACACGGACATTCGAATGCAGGCGACAGGCCCTCGTGACAGGCCGGCCTACGAACACCCACGTCACATCACAAATGTTAATGTCGCCATATGAATTTCGAGATAATACTCGTGGAAATGTGGCGTCAATACATATAAGATAAAGGGGACCCCCGCCTACAAGGGACAGACGCTAAAGAATAAGAAGAAGAAGAAGAAGTTCAATCAGTTCGTCGAATTAAGGATAGCTTGTCTTTCGTGACATCTGTCACTCGCTGCGTAATTTGAAGCACAGTAATTAAGGGCTTCTTAATGCTGCCGTTGGAGTACATGGTGATGCAGTTCTTATTTCCTTTCTTCGCTCTAGTTAAGTGCCTCCAGGGATGGTGAATTGCACGTAGTGAGCGAGCGAGTGCCAGATACTTAGCAGTACATGAATGTTGGAGTTGCAACAGAACGCTCTCAGAGAGATCATACTCATCCCACTTCTCTCCACCACCTCTCTTTATGATACCCTTCATTCTCTTCTTTACAAAAGTTCCTTGCTTTCGGTAATTTTTATGCAGATACTAGATTTGAGTACTCTTTCCATCTCTTGAGGGATTCTAGTTGATCACTGCAAGAATTTTGGATATATGCATCTCTTACATTTCAGGATCTACTTTACTTACTCGTGTCCGACAGTGGCTACGTTAACGAGCCATCCATTGTTTGGGAGTCCTTCAATAATGTTGACGGAAGTTCGATTTTCTTCGCAAGTGACTTCACTGTTGGCTCTCCTCGCACCAGTAGTGCTACAAATGAATCCCAGGGAGTGTGCTCCACCGATGTCGAGTACGTTTCAACTGTCACTCGATTTTATTCGAAATCAGCTTCGGGGAAAAAAAGGTCTAGCACACGTGAATCGGTTTCAGTGTTTTTTGATAGCCCAAGAGATGCAAGCTTGCGAGGAAGAACTGGCTAGACAAGAAGCTGAAAAAGCTGCCGCTCAAAAAGCTGCAGCACAAGCTCAGCGTTATCCTTCTCCTACAGAGGAAAGGTTTGTTTGTTTATATAACTAGAGTTTATCTAGATTATTATTTGCATGATGCACTATGTGAATGTGAAGTGCCCCTAGGGCTGTTCGTTGCGGGTCTTTGGGAGGAGGTTCAGGTCCTCATTTGTCCGATGAAGGCATTTTATCGCATTCATGTACTGCAGACGAGATATCTTGTCAATTGATCGTATCTACTACTGTAACTCCAATTTTTGGAAGGGGAGCCCGGGATGGGTACACGAATCGTTCGCTACTGTAAAAAGAGGATTTATGTTGTGTAAACTTTTCTAAACGTCATTAATAAATGAAAACATTTGCCACAGTTTCAAATGCCCTCAGCACTGAAATGGCCCGCTCTTCTAGTTGAGCGCTTCTAGTGGATTGTATTTCATATATGCATCACCTCCTTGCAATTATTGTAATTCTACAGGAAAAGAATTTCCCTCGCTTTCAATGACGATGAGATCGCTGTCTGTCATATCGATGGCAGGGGTTTTGGAGGATCAGTACAAAGCGAGCCATGAGTGACAGTCACCAAAAAACGTTCCTTAACATGAGAATAGCCGAATACCAAAATATGCTCAGCGCTGATGATTGGTTTTGCAGCCATTCGAGGTTTTGGTGTGCGCTCCTTTCGAAAGCGCTAGTTTCAACAATGACGGGTGGGATTACTATCCATAGCAACCATGAGTCTGTGGTGGTTGCCTCGCGTAGTTTTATCATGTCGGACACTTTGTCTTCTAATGTTAGTGTGTACTTTGACGTTGCCTCGGTTCTGTGTTCAAAACTCATCTTTTCGATGTAGCTTTTCTCAGATTTTGTTTTGGTGATTAACGAGGTCGCAAGACTAATGATGGACCAGTTCGGATATATTTTGTTACAGACGCTCCAGTTATGAGAGAGCCACACACAGAAATAGCAGACCGGTTACTGCAAATACAGGGTCCAAAGACAAAAAGGTGGGTAATGTTTTTGTTTTGTGATAAAGTAGCTCTGGTGAAGAGTGTGCAGTGGCACTTAGAACAGTGCGTATCCCCCCTTTATTTTTCAAATCGGCTACGTTGTTTGATATAGAAATATGAGTAACGAAGTGCGCTGAGTTCAGTATCACGATCCCTGTTTCTTCTTTCGTCACCTCTAGGACCTGCTCTTTTATTCTGCTGCTGTTTCGGTAAATTCCTCGATGGGGTCTTTTCTCTCTCTCGCCTTTCTCATCATGCAGTCCCACTTTTCGTCGCATTACCTTGAACAATCTGCGGCGCTCATTGTCTTCCTAATTCTCTATTCTAAAGCCTTTTTTGTCTCTTATCCGTCTCTGGTATATCTTATGATTCTGTCCCCCCCCCTCCGCCTTACCGCCTGCAACATTCGGCCAGACTTGGAAATTTATTCGTTTTGATTTCCCCAAAATAAAACAAAAATTCGCTATTTCAGTGCACAATCTCGTGAACACACACATTGCCTAACGCATTCACACTGCTGCACCCAATATCCGGTACGTCGGAGGTACATGTGCGCCAAAATGCATCTGAATTGGTTATTACGTTTTTATGACTAGTCAGAGTTTTAATTTGTAGATGTATACATTGTATATTCCTATCCTCATCATTACATGAATTATGTTCGGTACGAGTGATTTACGCGGATATTGAACTTCTACGCCTACACTGTAAAAAAGTACATTAAATTCTAAATGAAGTATATTAGTTTTCGATGTGCCTTACTAACAATGGATTCTTCTTCAGTCGTTTTTGTGATACATGCCTCGGTTCCCCTCATTGAGAAGTAGTTCACGATATTTAAAAGACTATTAATTGCAATGTTCTAAACAGTAGTTTTGAAGTAGTCGTTATCTTTTGACGTTATACTTAGTTTTTGAATTGTGTTGAGAAAATTTCGTTAATGAATGTATGCTTACACAAGACGCAGTCAATTAAGATAGGGTTGGCTTTTGACGGTCCTTCTTGGACACTCCGAATTACAATTTCTGCCCTCACATACGTTAATTAGTCGGATGTTAAACTAGAACTAGCAGCCTTGTGTTTATTCTTTGAATATCATGTGTGCTGGTCATGTTAAAATACTTGTCTAATATTTGGATCATAATTATGGCTTGGAAAAGGATCAAGTAAACCACATGACTGCATGACAGTTGAGGTCACCCTGACATGCAGCTGTTTGAAGCTACTAGTGGGTAGTCATGGTGCAAGGTTTCAAGCTTATTCATGGTTTGCGCTTTAGCAGCCGGCAAGCTTTGTTGATGATTCTTCAGGGGAAGCGATCACGCTGCCTTCTACGTGGATCTGTGCTAACCTTACGTCATAACTTCGAATAGCAAAGTCTGATACAGATATACTCGATATCCGTGAGTTGGGGTAGGCGTGTCACCGGAAGTGACGTGCACTTGATAGAAGCTATGTGGATAAGCTGCTTCCAACATACATCGCTGGATATCAGCAAAGCATGCTGGCAACAGCTTATCCACGCACTTCTATCAAGTGCACGTCACTTCCGGTGACACACCCTACCCCAACTTTCGGATATCGACTGTAAGTGTTGGAGGCGTGTTTAAATCCATGGAATGATATGGTATTATGAGATAAGAAGATAGGGCTGGTAATTAGGGTGCCCTTCAGAATGAAAATCGGACGATATCGATAATGGTATCATATCTAGCACGCTGCCATCGCAACCCCTCCCACATGGATACGGGTTTGTTCTTATTATCCGGAAGTGGATTCGCTTCTTTTTTCGCGCACGTGAGGAGGCGCTATTGCCTCTGTAACGCTACTTGTTGTCTCATCGGGCAGGAGACCTATCCACTCCAGTACGTAGCGTTCCTTATCGTCCCAATGGGAAGTATCATGACCACTTCCTTTAACCAGGATGAACCACGGTGAAGGACTCCCCGTCAATTCTTGTTCGTCTTGGTGGGCGCAGGAGTGGCTGTGGGTCGTAGAGTGGCCTGAGATGGATAGGTGGGAAAATGAAAGAGAGATGTACAACACGTACGGTGGATACCCACATTTTCGCGCCTCTTCTCCATGAGAATTCTAGAAGGATTCGACAGTCGATTGGGCAGGTGAGCTAGGTAGGGGTAGGGCTGTTTCTATGGACACCAATGTGACTATCATCGAGCAGATAACGAGTGTGTTGGTTAGTGAATAGCAATGTCATCGGAGGTAGTTGTCAATCTTAGCTTAATGAAGTGGTTGTAAGTCGAATCCAATCCCTGCCTAGTGTCGTAGACCTAACTGGCGTGCAGTATGACGCATTTTATCTTCTCCCTCTCATCTCCCGCTAAAGACAATAAACCATCAGAAGTCGACCTTAATTGACGATGAGAAAACTGGAGGCTACATATCGGCTTTACGATGGCACTGTTGGTCGAATTGCTCGTTAAACAACCGAAACTTGCCTCCTTCCGGAGTCGCGTACTGTGTAGAAAGTTGGGTGAGGGAGAAGCACGTGCTTACATATCTTGGTCTCTGCGATCCATCTCGATTCATTCATTTGCTTCTAGGCTGCTTTCAAATAAGTCACATGCATTGTGTATTCCAGCAAAAGATGGCCCTTGAAGATTATTTTTCCTGCCATCCGTTGCATGAGCAGCACTTGACTGGGTTTCTTCAAAGATGTACTCTTTTTTTTAATGATAGTCATCTTAGGTACTTATGCCAAGAGATACATCAGGTCCAAGCCGAAATATTTGTCGATATTTTGCCAGTGGTTGTTGTACTCAGGGTGATCAGTGCACTTACTCATCATGACAGGAATATGGTCCGCATATCTCGTCTGCTAGTATGTATCAACGGCAGGTATGTATTTATATCTGCTGGCTCGGTCAGGAATACGCAGATTTTTGTTCGTTCGCTGAGAGGGTTACGAATAGCTTTTGCAACCTAGCTAAACGTTGAGTCAGGTGGGCACAGTTGTCGCTCACAGTTGTGAGGATGCTTGTTTTGAGCGTATGTGCATACGGGCAAGTCCAGCTTGGTTCATGTTTCAATGACACACATACTGCATTTTGTATAATTCTTGATACCCTGGTCGTTTTTATCTATCCGGAGGGCCTCTGCTTTCTTTGTTGATTGAATTTTTCACATCACGGCATGTAATTGCCCGACGCTCGCTTCCTAATTGCTGCACGGTATTGCATTTTTGTATCTGTTTTGTGTTAACATTCAGAATTTGCAATATAATTTCCACCCATCTGTTAATTGGGCGTGATCCATCTCAATTGAAAATTTTCCTTCTTTGAATTTAAAACTGATAAATGATTCCAGTTGCTCCTATGGTACAGCCTGCAGATATGACCACGTTCGTCCTAAGAAGGACGCCGGAGCTGATGCGGCAAACGGCACCGTATCAGCCCCGAAACCATCATCCATACCCAAACCTGTGAAATTGCCAAAGCCTGGTCTAAATACAGATGCTGCTGAATTCATCCCATCTTGGAAACGTTCTGCGCCTGGTAGGAGTTTTTATGGTACTATGCCACTTTCGAATATAGACTGTGATTTTTCAGGAATATCATATGCTGCAGCAGCAGGTGCGATTGAAAGTGAGGGCGCTTTGCTACCGCTGTGCCCGTATTTCGAAGTGGGAGAGTGCACTAACGAACAATGCCAATTTGTGCATGGTCTTGTTTGTGATATGTGCTCTCGTGCATGCATCCATCCGTACGATGAGAAGCAACAAAAGCAGCACTTTGCAGTGAGTTCATTTTTAGTCCAATAATTGTTTAGGGGTGATTATAGGCGATTTTTTGTCAAAGGTCGCGTATGTGTTGACGGTTATAAGTGTTTTCAATTCCTGCTCGGAAGAACTATGTTCCCGCCGTGGTTTTTATAGGAATGTTTAAAGCAGCATGAGCTAGCCATGGAACAAGCATTTGCTGAAGCAAAGAGTATAGGAAAATGCTGTGGGATTTGTATGGAAAACATCATGGAAAAGGTGAGCAAGGAAAACGCATTTTATTTTCGTTTATTGGTAGCTATCTGGTGGTGTTTGTTCCTCCTCACAAACGAAATTTCGTAACTGTAACAGTTTTACGATTATACCCTGATTGAGTAATTCAAGGCACTCCGTTTTGGAATACTGGAAGGATGTCGTCATTGTTTTTGTTTGGACTGCATTCGAGAGTGGAGACGGAATCAAACCTTCGAGACTGATGTTGTTCGGTGAAGCCGTTCGTCTTTTGCTTTTTATGTGATTCGCAGATTTCCACTGATTCTTTTACAGATCATGTCCTGAATGCCGCCAACATAGCAATTTCGTGATTCCGTCAACACTTTGGGGGTTGAAGATGACGAGGAGAAGCGTATATTGTGCGAAGTGTACCGCAATAACATGTCACAGAAACAGTGCAAATATTATAAGGTAGGCACGATTTGAGTTCCGGAATCTAACAGCGCGGTGACGCAGCGGGCTCACCAGTCGACTCCTTTGTTAATAGATTATAGAGCAGGCGCGGGCGGTCCGGAATCAGAGGGGGTAGCGATATGCACGCATCACGCATCGGGGGTACACGCCAGGTGGCCTCGGGCGAGCTCTTTCGACCATGTGTAGCGCTACAAAATGATGAATGGAGAGCTAAGGCTTGCAGATTTTTCGTGTGGCATACTAGTGAGTCTCATCCTGTACTGTCCGTCAAGGTTTTCTCAGCGCGACAAGCGTTGAAGGTGGGTTGGTAATTTAAGAAATCGAGTAGGTTGAGTCAGTGCTGAAGGGAGCCTGAGGCAATACTAGCCGGCACCTCCAGCATGGGAGGGAGCATGGGACGCTGTTATGAGAAGCCAAAATGGAAATTGGTAGAGGCGCCCGTGCCACGATTGTACTGCCTGATAATCTATTGTACATAATGCCTTCTACGCGCACTCTTTCCTGTCGGATTATTGCCTCCCAAAGCACTTACAGCTTATCCTGAACGAAAACCTTTGGGATAGAGAATCAGCTTGGGAAGCACTCTGTGATCTTCAGGTCTAATTTTCCGTTTAATTGGGAGCAAGCAATATCAACAGGCTGTCGGTAGCTGATGGTGCATACCTCTTACCTCATACCTCTCCTACTAGATTATGGCGTTGAAGGGTATAGTGGATTTTGCGACTGTTGTAGTTTTCCAAGTACTATACTGACGATGAGATTAGCGAAAATTGTTGTAAATATAGCAGTATTATTTTTGTATAAACCGCGGTGTGTCGGTTTTCATCGCGATTACTGACGTTGGGTAGCGATTTTGTAAAAGACATCATTAGGCTGGTGGCACAGGGTGATGGGAACAACCATTATTCAGTTAAGGAAGAGGATGGGGTCGGCCGCCCCGAGCACGGTGCGCGCTTAGTATATGTAGCTATTAGGGGCTACAGAACGTATTGGAAGGATAGTAATCCGCAGAATAAGGGCTGTGAAAAATACCACTACTTCTTAAAAATTTCGAATTTATGTCACATAATATGGTATTCCACCTTGTACATCGATTCTAAATTTAGCAGTGTTCAGTTTATCGATTCAAAAATGCCGCACCAAAACACCCCGCTTGCAAGACTTTATTTCAACGAATTCGTTAACATCTCATTAGCTCGTACGTAATAATTTATAGAATAGCTGACATCGAACTGTCAGACATCGCATGATTACATTTGTTTGGAATTGACATCTTTCTGTAGAAGGTGTCTGGGCAGAAGGCTGTCCTTTTCGGAAACAAGGGCTTTCTACAAGCGGCCGCATCAGACTTCCAGATGGTTCCATTGACCCTGGGGAGAAAGAAACCGCATGCAAGAAGAAACCTTATCTTAGTCTGATATTATTTACAACAGGTGGGTTGCTATTGGGATGTTATCTATACCATTTACCGTTTATATGTTTACCAGTTTGGCTGCGCACGCATTCGCCTGCATCACACGGAGGCTGCCATTTAAGCAGGTTATCAATTTGTTATAGTTGGTTTTGTTGCGAAAACCCCGCCACTTTGGCGTGGATGCCCATCCACAATTACGCTGATCGCACTCTTTCTTGTCTCTTTTTCTATTTACTTTGTTTCCTAGTTTCAACTTCTTGGAACCAAGTCATATTGTTTCGTGGATAGCTCCTCCTATTCGGATGCACGCCTGTGGCTGTTGAAATCTTTTCCGTTGATGGACTCGATCCACTTTTTCCTGGTCTCAGGACTGCTTGGAACCGAATTATAACATCGGGGAAGCTGATCTCTTTTCCCTCGCCAACCTCTAACCCCTTTTTCCCTATCTCTAGGACTTCTTGGAGCCGAGTTATGAATTTTCGTCGCAAACTCCGCCCACTTTGGTCAAGCCCCGCCCACCATGACAGCTGGCCTCCACTCCTCCACCCACCTCCATCCACCTTTTTCCCGGCCTCCGGGACTTCTTGGAGCCGAGTTATGAATTTTCGTCGCAAACTCCGCCCACTTTGGTCAAGCCCCGCCCACCATCATCCACCTTGTCCCAGCCTTCGGGACTCTTGGTAACCGAGTTATGAAATTTTTCATAAAGCACTGCTTTTTTAGAGAACGCCCCGCCCACCGGGGGTGGGTCTCCCTAATTCGATGTGACTTACCAATGCACACCTTACCCACTTTTTGGCCCAGTTTCGAGGTCGTTTTTGTCACTGAAATCGAAATCTTGGTCTTCGGTACAATTCATTTCGACGCACGCCACGCCCTCTGTGGGCGGGGCTCCGCTTAGCTGATGTGTGTTTTGTATTTCGTGAGACCTTGCCCACCCATTCCACACTTGACCCGGTCCCTCCAGGCGGATCCCGAGGAGCTAGGGAATTTCGTGACAGACATACAGAACGACAGACAGACAGACGACAGACGAAGCGCTTTATAGTAAGTAGGATCTTTGCTGTTTCAGGACAAGAACGGATTCAAATGAGGACGAAGCACTGGACGAGATCACAGCAGATTTACTAGATAACGATTCATATTTGAGAAATTTCTTCATGAGGCTTCACCTTGAGCGTCAATAGAGATTATTTCAAGTATTTTGGATGTCATCCATTGTTTTGGATGTTTCCGTTCAGATAATTTAATAGTGAAATTATAAAGCAATGCAGAGCTTCTGAATAAATGAACTTCTAGGAAGTTGAGATAACTGCATTTACTGGTGGGAGTGATAATAAATCGTTGCAGCATTGATGTGTATTGCGGATCTTATAGTATATGGTATTTGATAACCGTTCCTTCATTATAAGTCTTTACAAATGTCCTGTTGTAGCGCTCACAGCAAAGTTTCCTGCATGAACCTCTTAATACTGTTATTACCGTATTAATCAATGCATATTTATTGAATATTTGTCCAAGTAACAAGTTTAGCAGACGAAGCAAGTCGTTGCTAATCAGAATTTAGGACATCGACATGGATTGCAGCACGCATTCCTTGAATATTCAATGTTAGCAGCACCAGCTGGACCCACCACAGGCTGCTTACCTTCAGCCCCCACCCTTGATTAATCACAAGCGGTTGCTGAAATTTGTAGTGGCGCTACTTTTATAAAGAATTACTGATTTTGAGTGTTCGGATGTTAGTCTTCTTTTGTATGAGCTGACCCATTGACTCCGAATCGGCACTTGGGTGGGGAACCTTTTGTAATAGTTAGTTTTACATAGAATACCCTAGTATTACATAGTCTACTCTAAAAGGGGTCTGTAAATTGGCCGGAAAAACCAGTGGATCATGGGTGGCTGAAAGGGCGGCGCGCGTTTTCATGGAGTCATTGGGACATCGTATCACGCTGGAGGTCTGATCAAGACCACCCCACCAAATGGTGCTCAGTGACGCCATGGAAGCCGCGCTACCCTTTAGCCACTGTGATTCAGTGCCTTTAGAAAACTGGGCTGTTTTCAACCACTTTGTGATGCCAACACTTAATTTTATTGCCTATGTAGCACCTCTAGTTCTTTGAGATCTTCTGAACGACAATTTGTACGAAAACGAGATACTAGTATGAGGGAGAAGTTGCCAAGAGACATTGATCGGATGCCATTCGTGCTACCACCGATGCGCCATTACACGCATGTATCGACGCGGCCAGAAGCTGTATAACTGTAATGGCGCCATTCATACAGTAAGTTTTTACGATTATTAGTTTATCTTTCACTGAAAGGGGAAAGGCTCAATCTGATTTTATTGTTGCCTGAAACCTCGAGCTCGATCTATTTCTTGATAGTTTTACACTAGAAAATCCATATCAAGCAATTAGTTGGCGCGTATCGTGTGAATTGCACAAAACTTCAAATATTAAATGAACAGAGATTTACTTCGAGTCTGTGGTAGCCAACAGATAGATTCGACTCAAGTAGCGATCGTCGCCCATGCGGGGGACCTTGCCAACTTTGCGATACGCCTGCCTCTAATCACATACACTTCTCGTTGTGTACCGGAAAGAGAGATGGGAGGTTAGAGGTAAGAAGGGGTTTAGAAGCATGGAAAGATGTGAGAAAGATGTATTTTTTGTTTCATTTGTTTCTTTCTCACACGTGAAAGTCACTGCAACCACTTGACCGAGTCTCGCTCCACCTCCAACTCTGCCCACTGAAATAAAACAATGAATAAAAGATTTTCCCGCCTGCCCTCAAACTGGCGTATCCATAGAACTGTGTAAGTGCAGCTTTGGCAGGCCGAACAGCACTTGTCATCTCATGCTACGAATGAATTTGCAAATACAAGGAAAATGGCCACACACATCGTTCCAGAGACGAGTCTTTCTCACGAATACAAAAAGCAGTCCGTGAATATATTGTATGTGCGAACGATTGCTATGATTATCGCCTCCTCTCTCAAATAAAGGGACAGTTGGCTATGATATTCAGTGAGAAAGACGAGGTATGAGTATTGACTCAACGGCATTGTGTTGCTGCATTATGCTAATATGAATCTGCCTTGAATTAAGCTCAGCTTCTCAAGTGAGCAAGATGACAACATTCTCATGGCCAAAATACCTTCGAGCGTTTTCCGACTGCGTGGTATGGTGTCTGTAATGTCCCAGCTTGGGAAATGATTTCTCACTTTTGTTATTACTTGCAGACGAAGACCGATTCAGGAGTAGTCATGGAGCTGATCACAGCAGATGATTTCGAATGGCTGAGTCATCTCATTAATGTGTATCAAATGGTTTGTGGAACAATATTGAATTGTGTCGCAGCTCGTATGCCTAAATGTCGTTCTTGCCTCATTCAGGATCAGAACGAAAGTGTCCGCTTGGAAGGGCTGTGTTGTATCTCATCTTTGGTCGACGCTTGCCATAGTCTTATTCCCTTCCTCCTCAATTCACGGCTTCCAGAAGTATTGGCTTTGGAATTTCAAACCGTTGATTCTACGCTGACGGATTTGCATTTAATCGCCCTAAAACTACTCACGAAGATTTATTCAACTGACAGACCGCCTCCCCTCAACCACTTCGGTATGCGCGAGATTGGTTCGCAATATTATATTACAAGGATAGGACGTAATCTGGCTCCATTTTACGGTCGAAAATTGTCGTCATTTATTATATCTAAAAGTTTCTTAGAATTAGAATGAAAATGGTTATGTGCTAACCTCTGCATTTCGACCAAATACCAATACGCTATTGAACTGGGAACAGCGAAGGAATTACGTTTCTTATTATAGAGTTCTTCGATTGGAATTTCTTCATGAAGATTATTGGACATCTGAAGGAGCATCCGTCCGAGATACTTGACTACATGGTTAACTTTAGCTATCTTATCCCAGAAGGCATTGATAATGCGGTGGTACTCGCTCTTGGATCTACCCTTAGTTCGCTTTCTTTGGACGCTTTTGGGTGAAAGTTTGTAAACGAAGAAATAAGCGGTATGTTCACATTTTTTTTCTCAACTGGAACGTTAGTTGTTCATAACTTTAGATCGCCGGCTCAAGTTCTTCATAGACATTGTTGAACATGGTGCTTTGTACAAAGAATTATTTTATGAAAACGATCTCGACGTCTTGTCGCATGTAGTTGCAAGAGAACTTGGGAATTCTGAAGTTGCACAAGTTTGTTAAACGTTACAGTATCGCACGCCTTTCACATTCTTGCTGTTGTCATAATGACATTATTTAGGTTCGTTCTCGTTGCATGGAGTGTATTGCCGATGGCAGAAATAGGTCACTGTGATCGAATGGTACGGGAAGCCGTCGAAAACTTCGATCTCGACGAAGAGTTGCGTTCACAAACTTTGGCAGTCATAAATAGGAATCACTCTTGATCATTAGTTTTAGTTGTAGCATTCTAGTGCTTGTGCTGTGATTAGATACCCGGTCATTCCAAGGTTGTGAACGAGGCTTGTTTAATGTTTATATCAAAATTGCTGGCATTTATAATATGTACATTTCATGCTACCCATTCATCATAAAGAGCTATTAGTATCCTACTTTCAACTATTACTATAACCGTTTCCATCTATTCGGTGGCCAAATGATATGGGTTAGCTCGATTCTTCACCAGACCTCGACTTACCTGAAATGACTAGTAGTACATTAATTTCATTGAGATACCCACGATATTTAAAGGCACATTTCGCTGCCATAAACTGAAGTATTTTGCCTGACAATGGAAGTTAGGGGGCGGGTGGACATTAGTTGAAAGACAAAAAAGGAAGGAAAAAACAGTAAAACTGACCCACGGCAAAGACCACTGAGCGACGAGGAGATAGAGCACAAGCAGAGGAAAATGGTGGCGAGTGAGACACAGACACTAACGCATTCGCAGAGCGGGCGGCCTGAGCCAAAATAGTAAGTCTCTGGCGTCGTGAAACACGCTTTCAATCAAAAACGTGGCATCATTTTTGCGCTTGACGACTCTCCCACCTACTCGCGTAAAAGATCATCCCATTCATCTCAATCCTGGAATCCCTTTCAGGTAAATTTTCGGGGAATTTACTCACGTTGAAAGCATAACACTAGTAAGAACCTAGACAAACCGGAAGCTTTGGTGTGGGACGCGCTCCAAGTAGGATGTGATGAGCATCGAGAAGAATCAGCGAGAAGAAATGGTGGCGCTTCAATTGAAAGACTCCAGATATATTTCACTTATAAAACATTTGCAAAAATAGCTTAGTAACGGTGATTTGCTTCTTTTTCCACTGCCCGCTTACTATCAGGTGGTCGCTCGAGTATTTATCACGATTGAACGTTGTTATCTTATCGCGATAAACTGGTCAGCTCTAATTCAGGAATCATGTCAATTATATGACACGTCAATAAAACCAGTCCGACTCTGCTGGAAGAGTAATCCTGGGAGATCTTTTCCCAGTCCTCCCCCCCCCACTTGTTCCTACAACGACGAATGAGCTGATAGGTTGATAGATAGCACAAGACACATCCGTAGTGTTGTCGGTCAACTAGTCTTTAAATCTCAATCCTTACGGGCCACACAAAACACCATCCAAAAACTTTTGGATCACACAATTCGTAAGGCTTTTTAGAGCCTCGGGAAAAGCCAGAGGTATAAACAAACTTGTAAATTTTGATCAGGTCATTGTGCACTCACCGGTCCGTAAATATTACTGTCGTTGGCGTTCACCGGATTATCACTTTCCATCCAGCAACATCCTTTCGGAACAAGAAGCAGCTCATTTCGATGTTTCGGCCTTGAATATCGAACTAATTCG